ATATATATATGTATGTATGTATGTATGTATGTATGTATGTATGCGCTCCCCTCAAGCTTCTAAACACAAATCTAAGCTTAAAATAAGCTTTAAACTAAGAAATCAACACAAAAGTCAAATTTAAATTTTTAGATCTTCAATTTCAAAACCGTATATTAAAATAAATTTTTTGGAAGGGATAAAAATTGGATTGATTTCTATCCCCTAAGTATAATAGTTTTTCAATTTTTGCCCATGTTCTTATTGTTTCTTTTATCCAAATACACAAACTAAGAGCAACCTTCATTTTCAGATTTGGTAACCAGGTTTCAAAAAGTTTCAAATGTAAGTCATGCATGCATCTTTATGAGAATATTTAATAATTATTATTATAACAATAAGAGAGTATTATCTACAGCTTCACTGTTTATATAAAGAATGAATCATTTTGCATGAAGGAAAGCTAGTATTCTCTAATAAAAGAAACATACAACTTTCACATTATTTATTTATTTATTTACTAGTTTTCTCCTCACATGTATTAATTAATAAACTACATATTTAATATTTTTCATTGATATTTAATAAGTTATTTTAATTTTATTAAAAACATCAAAATCAAATATTCATTAAATTATATTAAAGAATAAGAGGGTTTTTTTTCTTAATGTTGATAGATTTTGTCAATATTAATAGTAAAATGAATAACAAAAATTTTATGAATCTTTTCATTCATAAAAACTAAAGGTTACCAAAATAATATCCAAGGATCTTCTACAATAATAATAAAAATTTAACTATGAATCCCATTTGAAAATTTAATAATTTTTAATGTATTTCTATTATCTTTGGATTTTAATAATTTGTTGCTGTTATTTTCTTATTTTAAGATATTTTCAGAGTGCCTCCGATGGTCCAAATATAAGTGAAAATGATAGTATATTAGGTCAAGATAATTTTAAAAGCTTACTCTTATGTTAAATTTATGTGATTTTTAAATAGATGTATGCTTTGCATGTTCAAGCATAATAATATAAGCTGAACATTCCTTTGATGATTCAAACACCCAGTTCCATTAATCTCATTCAGTTAATAAAGCAAATGGCCTTGCTTTTTCCAGACGGGCGGACCTGCCTGAGGCCCGTGCCCCTAGGCCACTCATGGTCGCACCAATCGGCCACACAGGCCCGTTCCAATGGGCTTCTTTGTTATTTTAATTTATTATTTAATGTGAAGCTTTTACTTATTTTTTTTAATTGTTTGATATTATATTAATTTTATTTTTTTAATCATATAGTAGAATAAAAAAAAATTGAACCTAGTGAAATTCTTAGCCTAGTTCATGGATTTAAGAGCTGGACTCAAATTAATCTGGGTTTTGTTGATCTTTTTTCAAAAATTTTTATTTTGACAAAAATAACATTCATATATTTAATAAGCATCCAAAAAATATTAACAACTAACTCAAAGTAAACATTAGATAAAAATTATATTTTCATGTATTAAACAATGACAAAGTTCAAAAGCATGTGATATCAAAACAAGTTTAAAAATTTTTAAAACATGAAAGAAAGAGTTGATGTATCTCATAAACATCACTTGTTAGATTAAAAGAAGATTTTATAACTTTAAAGTGTCAAACCTTTTTCGCAAAAACTCTCTCCATAAATTTCAAATCTTTCAAAGCCAAAGAAAACTTTGTGTTAAACTAATGAACCTTTACAACTAGAATTTTTTACCAATATTTTCTTCTTCATTCTCCTCTCTCCCCCCAGTTATGATTTTTCAAGAGCATTTATAGGGTTTTTTTAAAATATTTTTTATGGATTTAATCAATGATTGATCAGTGCTTGACCCTCTAATCATAATGAGAGGGTTTTGGATAAATTTTACTAGTTGAAATCCTCTAATCATAATGAGAGGGTTTTGGATAAATTTTACTAGTTGAAATCTCTATCCTTGATTAATTTTGCAATTATGGTTTTATAATAAATTCAAAGATGATTTTTTACAAAAATTGATGGTCAATGTGAGGTTTTTTAGCCTTCTGATCTTTAAAGAATGATTTTAAACTCTTGATAAGAATCCATTGAGAATCATTCTAGCATGAAGACATGGGGAAAAAAAAATTCTTGTATAATAGGTATCACAATCATGGCTAATCGAGTTATCTATTTTTGAAGCCTTGTTAGAGCAACTCCGATATCTTCATCATTAGAAATCACTTGAAATTAATCGAGGGGGGTGTACACTTTTTGTTTGAATTCAACGTTTCTCAATTTAAATATTTGTAATTTCATATTTATTTGTTTAATCTGGAATCTAAAAATATAATGATAACTAATCAAAAAATAAGATGTTATCAATATCATTAAAGAAAATAGAATGTAAATGTTTGATAGGAGTAACTGATAGATCTTTAATATTTGATTAATTAGAATTGAGTTTTTTTATTTATTTCAATTTAGATTTTATAGTGTTTTCGTGACCTCGTACTTTAAATTGCAAATTTGATATAATAAATATAATTAATCTAAATTAATCTAATATATTATTAACTTAATATTTTTTTTAAAAATATATCATTTATTATATTATCATCTCAATATTTTAAAATTTCATCATTCAGTGTGTATCAAACTTTTTACCTGGTAGCATTATTATATATCTTTTTAGTTATAAAAAAATATCTAATCTGCAGCGCAACCGCGGGTAAAAACCTAGTGCAGTCTATGCCTTATGAGGAAGGTAAAGACGAGCTTTTGTATTACGCAACAGTCTCCCAAATTACAAATTCAGTCATCACCACCGACAACCAAGAGTGAAGCTACTGCATACATGCTTCTGATAAATATTCTGGAACAGTTTAAGGCAATGTTAGAGGTCCAGTCTAAAGGACTTCTTTTCTATTTCAATATAGAGAGAAACTTATTCATTCAAAGGAACCAAAAAGGAAAAGCACACAAAAGGCAGTTCATCAGGAATACAACGCAAGTAACAAAAGCCCAGATGGAAGGTGGTGTGAGACACCAAAATGGAAGTAAACATGACCAGAAATTGAGCTTCCAAAAACTTGACCAGCAG